TTCTTTCACAGAAAGCCTAACATAGCCCTAGCCGGCATGGGAGACGAGTGAAAAATCGTGCCCCAGAAAACGTGTTACAAGACCCATACGCCCATCCAAAAGTGCTCCCAGAGGAAGGCTTTGGGTACAAGTGAACTCTGCAGGGGAGCCTTTAAGCAGCCCCACATGCAACTGAACCCTCCTTATTCGCTCTTTCACAGGAAGGCTAAATATAACCCTTGCCGGCTTCGGAGACGACTGAAAATTCTGGCCCAGGAAAATCTGATCCGAGCCCTTTTCACCCATGCAAAAGAGCCCCCAGAGGAAGGCTTTGGTTACAAGTGAACTCCACAGGGGAGCCTTTACGCAGCCCCACATGTATCTCGACCCTCCGTATTCGCTCTTTCACAGCAACCCTAAATATATCCCTGGCCCGCATGGCAGACGACTGAAAAATCGGGCCCGAGAAAAACCTTACAAGCCCCTTTCGCCAATCCAAAAGTGCCCCCAAAGGAAGGCTTTGGGTACAAGTGAACTCCCCAGGGGAGCCTTTTTGCAGCCCCACATGCAAGTTGACCCTCCTTATTCACTCTTTCACAGCAAGCCTAAACATATCCCTAGCAAGAATCAGAGACGACTGAAAAATCGGGGCCCCGAACACACATTACAAGACCCTTTCACCCATCCAAAAGTGTCGACAAAGGACGGCTTTGGGTACAACTGAACTCCCCAGAGGAGACTTTGTGCAATCCCACATGCAACTGGAACCTCCTTATTCGCTCTTTCACAGCAACCCTAAATATATCCCTAGCCTGCATGGGAGACGACTGAAAAATCGGGCCAAAGAAAACGTGTTACAAGCCCCTTTCGCCCATGCAAAAGTGCTCCCAGAGGAAGGCTTTGGGTACAACTGAACTCCCCAGGGGAGCCTTTACGCAGCCCCACATGCATCTGGACCATACTTACTCGCTTTTTCACAGCAACTCTAAATACATCTTTGGCCGTCATCGGAGACGACTGAAAACTAATGCTCTAGAAAACGCATTACAAGCCCCTTTCGCCCATCCAAAGTTTCCCCCAAAGGAAGGCATTGGGTACAAGTGAACTCCCCAGGGGAGCCTTTATGCAGTCCCAGATGCAACTGGACCCTCCGGGTTCGCTCTTTCACAGCAAGCCTAAACATATCCCTAGCAAGCATAAGAGACGACTGAAAAATCGGGCCCCAGAAAACACATTACAAGACCATTGCGCCCATCTAAAAGTGCCCCCAAAGGAAGGCTTTGGGTACAGCTGAACTCCCCAGGGGAGCGTTTCCGCAGCCCCACATGCAACTGGACCCTCCGTATTCGCTCTTTCACAGCAAACCTAAATATTGCCCTGGCCGCGTGGCTGAAGACTGAAAACTCGGGTCCCAGAAAACGCGTTACAAGCCCCTTTCGACCATCCAAAAGTGCCGCCAAAGGACGGCTTTGGGTACAACTGAACTCCCCAGGGGAGACTTTTATCAATCCCACATGCAACTGGACCCTCATTGTTCGTTCTTTCACAGCAAGCCTCAATATATCCGTAGCTGGCATCGGAGACGACTGAAAAATCGGGCCAAAGAAAACGTGTTTCAAGACCCATACGCCCATCCAAAAGTGCCCCCAAAGGAAGGCTTTGGGTACAGCTGAGCTCCCCAGGGCAGCCTTTACGCAGCCCCACATGCAACTGGACTCTCCGTATTCGATCTTTCACAGCAACCCTAAATATAACACTGGCCCGCATGGCAGACGACTGAAAACACATGCCCCAGAAAATGCGTTACATGCCCCTTTCGCCCATCCAAAAGTTCCCCCAAAGGAAGACTTTGGGTACAAGTGAACTCCCCAGGGGGGCCTTTATGCAGCCCCACATGCAACTGCACCCTCTGCGTTCGCTCTTTCCGAGCAACCATAAACATATCCCTAGCCGGCATCGGAGAAAACTGAAAACTCATGCCCCAGAAAATGCGTTACAAGCCCCTTTCGCCCATCCAAATGTTCCCCCAAAAAAAGGCTTTGGGTACAAGTGAACTCCGCAGGGGTGCCTTTAAGCAGCCCCACATGCAACTGGACCATCCTTATTCGCTCTTTCACAGGAAGGCTAAATATAACCCTTGCCGGCATCGAAGACGACTGAAAACTCTGGCCAAAGAAAACCCGATCCGAGCCCCTTTCACCCATGCTAAAGTGCCCCCAGAGGAAGGCTTTGGGTATAAGTGAACTCCCCAGGGGAGCCTTTACGCAGCCCCACATGCAGCTGGACCGTCCGTATTTGCTCTTTCCCAACAACACTAAATATAGCCCTGGTCGGCATGGGAAACGACTGAAAAACTGGGCCCCAGAGAACGCGTTACAATTCCCTTTCACCCATCTAACAGCGTTCCCATAGGAAGGCTTTGGGTACAAGTGAACTCCCCAGGGGAGCCTTTACACAGCCCCACATGCATCTGGACCATACTTATTCGCTCTTTCACAGCAACACTAAATATATCTTTGGCCGGCATCGGAGACGACTGAAAACTCATGCCCCAGAAAATGCGTTCCGAGCCACTTTCGCCAATCCAAATGTTCCCCCAAAGAAAGGCTTTGGGTACAAGTGAATTCCCCAGGGGAGCCTTTACGCAGCCCCAAATGCAGCTGGACCCTCTGTGTTCGCTCTTTCAGAGCAACCCTAAACATAGCCCTAGCCGGCATGGGAGACGAGTGAAAAATCGGCCCCAGAAAAAGCGTTACAAGTCCCTTTCGCCCATCCAAAAGTGCCCCCAAAAGAAGGCTTTGGGTACATCTGAAATCCCCAGGGGAGCCTTTACGCAGCCCCAAATGCAGCTGGACCCTCCGTATTCGCTCTTTCACAGAATCCCTAAATATAACCCTGGCCCGCATGGCAGATGACTAAAAAGTCATGCCTCAGAAAACGCGTTTTGAGCCCCTTTCACCCATCCAAAAGTGCCCACAAAGGAAGGCTTTGGGTACAACTGAACTCCCCAGGGGAGACTTTTTGCAGTCCCACATGCAACTGGACCCTCATTGTTCGTTCTTGCACAGAAAGCCTAAAATAGCTCCAGTCGGAATCGGAGACGACTGAAAAATCGGGCCAAAGAAAACGCTTTACAAGACACATTCGCCCATCCAAAAGTGCCCCCAAAGGAAGGCTTTGGGTACAAGTGAACTCCCCAGGGGAGCCTTTACGCAGACCCACATGCAACTGGACTCTCCATATTCGCTCTTTCACAGAAACCCTAAATATATCCCTGGCTAGCATGGCAGACGACTGAAAACTCGGGCCTCAGAAAAGGAGTTTCGAGCCCCTTTCACCCATCCAAAAGTGCCCCCAAAGGAAGGCTTTGTGTACAAGTGAACTCCCTAGGGGAGCCTTTACACAGCCCATATGCATCTGGACCATACTTACTCGCTCTTTCACAGCAACACTAAATACATCTTTGGCCGGCATCGGAGACGACTGAAAACTCGGGCCTCAGAAAATGCGTTACAAGCCCCTTTCGCCCATCCAAACGTGCCCCCAAAGAAAGGCTTTGGGTACAAGTGAACTCCCCAGGGGAGCCTTTACGGAGACCCACATGCAACTGGACCATACTTACTCGCTCTTTCACAGCAACACTAAATACATCTTTGGCCGGCATCGGATACGACTGAAAAATCGGGCCTCAGAAAATGCGTTACAAGCCCCTTTCGCCCATCCAAACGTGCCCCCAAAGAAAGGCTTTGGGTAAAAGTGAACTCCCCAGGGGAGTCTTTAGGCAGCCCCACATGCAACTGGACCATACTTACTCGGTCTTTCACAGCAACTCTAAATATATCTTTGGCCGTCTTCGGAGACGACTGAAAATTCATGCCCTAGAAAACGCATTACAAGCCCCTTTCGCCCATCCAAAGTTTCCCCCAAAGGAAGGCTTTGGGTACAGCTGAACTCCCCAGGGCAGCCTTTACGCAGCCCCACATGCAACTGGACCCTTCGTGTTCGCTGTTTCCGAGCAATTCTAAATATAACCCTAGCCGGCATCGGAGGCGACTGAAAACTTGGGACCCAGAAAACGCCTTACAAGCCCCTTTCGCCCATCCAAAAGTGCCCCCAGAGGAAGGCTTTGGGTACAAGTGAACTCCCCAGGGGAGCCTTTTTGCAGTCCCACATGCAACTGGACCCTCATTGTTCGTTCTTTCACAGCAAGCCTAAATATCATAGAATCATAGAATCATAGAATATCCTGAGTTGGAAGGGACCCTTAAGGATCATCAAGTCCATCTCTTGACACCGCACAGGTCTACCCAAGTTCAGACCATGTGACTAAGTGCACAGTCCAATCTCTTCTTAAATTCAGTCAGGCTCGGTGCAGTGACCACTTCCCTGGGGAGCCTGTTCCAGTGTGCAACCACTCTCTCTGTGAAGAACCCCCTCCTGATGTCAAGCCTAAACTTCCCCTGCCTCAGCTTAACCCCGTTCCCGCGGGTCCTGTCGCTGGTGTTAATGGAGAAAAGGTCTCCTGCCTCTCGACACCCCCTTACGAGGAAGTTGTAGACTGCGATGAGGTCTCACCTCAGCCTCCTCTTCTCCAGGCTGAACAGGCCCAGTGCCCTCAGCCGTTCCTCGTACGTCTTCCCCTCCAGGCCTTTCACCATCTTCGTAGCCCTCCTCTGGACACTCTCCAACAGTTTCATGTCCTTTTTATACTGTGGTGCCCAGAACTGCACACAGTACTCGAGGTGAGGCCGCACCAGCGCAGAGTAGAGCGGGACAATCACCTCCCTCGACCTACTAGCGATGCCGTGCTTGATGCACCCCAGGACACGGTTAGCCCTCCTGGCTGCCAGGGCACACTGCCGGCTCATATTCAACTTGCTGTCTACCACGACCCCCAGATCCCTCTCTTCTAGGCTGCTCTCCAGCGTCTCATCGCCCAGTCTGTACGTGCAGCCAGAGTTTCCCCGTCCCAGGTGGAGGACCCGGCACTTGCTCTTTTTTTTTTTTTTTTTTTTTTTTAAAAATTTAGCCAATTTTATTCAAATAATTTTTAAGAACACACGATTAGCTTTTCTCAAAAAGGTTACATTTCATATTTATCATATGCTTTTTAATCAAATGACAACTGATTCCTCCCCCTCTGCAGAATTCTCAGTAGAAGCCAGAGTCTTGAGTAGCCCAGTTAGGTGCCTCAGATCTACCACTCTGATTCAGTTTCTTCTCAATGTTCATAGCCAACATTTGACTACGAAAAGACAGGCTTTTGTTTTTTTCAATCACCTGTTGATAGGGTGACACTGCGTTGTTGCCCATAACTACATGGCCCAGCTTTGAATCCAACTTGGCATCTAATCGTGCGTTTCGGATTAGATTGACAATCCATCTTTCTGCTTCCTCAGGAGTCACGTTTAGTTTATCTGCTAACATACCAATGCTGATACATTGATGGATGCGACAGAAAGTCTCAAATATAAAGAGACGGGCATTCTCAATGAAGTCTTCAAGGCATGCCACTAAGAAAAAATCATTCACAAGCACTGTTTCACACTCTCTCAGCTTCTTCTGTGCACCATCAAAATCAAAATTAACATACAGGCATTCCACAAATTCTGTAATGGGGTCCCTGTATGTGTAGGACTCCTGTTGAATAACCTTGACTAGATCTTTCAGCACTTGTCTACGTTTTCGAACATCCTTATTTGTTATGACTGCAGTAGTGAGGTATCGGAGGAGACGTGGGCACATTGTCTGAATTGCATTGAGATACTGTGGTTGACAGAGAAAGAGATCAATGATATTGTCTCTCCCATTAGGATGATTAAAAAACACAAACAGAGACCAGAGGAGGAGCCATGTACTTCGTTGAAGCGACTGCAGCGGAGAGCTTACTGAATTATTCTCTATTGTCTCCTTCAGTCTTGTGAGATCTTCCATGGCTGCATCCCAATTCTGCATCAGAATTTCAGATGCAAGTTTCCCCCACAGAGAACTCAGAGCATTTCTGTCTGTAGCTGGAACCAGAACCCTAAAGAAGTAAAGATATTCTGCAGCTCCAGAGTAATTGCCACATTCATACTGGAATTTTGCATACCTGTAGAGTGTATCCTGTTCGTTCTTTGTTCGTTCTTTCACAGCAAGCCTAAATATATCCGTAGCCGGCATGGGAGACGACTGAAAAATCGGGCCAAAGAAAACGCGTTAAAAGTCCCTTTCGCCCATCCAAAAGTGCCCCGAAAGGAAGGCTTTGGGTACAAGTGAACTCCCCAGGGGAGCCTTTACGCAGCCCCACATGCAACTGGACCCTCCGTGTTCGCTGTTTCCGAAAAACCCTAAATATAACCCTAGCCAGCATGGGAGACGACTGAAAAGTCGGGCCCCAGAAAACGCTTTACATGCCCCTTTCGCCTATCCAAAAGTGCCCCCAAAGGAAGTCTTTGGGTACAACTGAACTCCCCAGGGGAGCCTTTTTGCGGCCCCACATGCAACCGGACCCTCCGTATTCGCTGTTTCCGAGCAACCCTAAACATATCCTTAGCCGGACACAGACGACTGAAAAATCGGGCCCCATAAAACATGTTACAAGTCCCTTTGGACCATCCAAAAGTACCCCCAAAGGAAGGCTTTGGGTACAAGTGAACTCCCCAGGGGAGTTTTTACGCAGCCCAACATGTATCTGGACCCTCCGTGTTCGCTCTTTCCGAGCAAATATAAACATAGCCCTAGCCGGCATGGGAGACGAGTGAAAAATCGGGCCAAAGAAAACGAGTTACAAGTCCCTTTTGCCCATTCAAAGTGCCCCCAGAGGAAGGCTTTGGGTACATCTGGACTCCTCAGGGGAGCCTTTACGCAGCCCCACATGCAGCTGGACCCTCCGTATTCTCTCTTTCAGAGAATCCCTAAATATAGCCTTGGCCTGCATGGCTGACGACTAAAAAGTCATGCCCCAGAAAACGAGTTTCGAGCCCCTTTCGCCCATCCAAAAGTGCCCCCAAAGGAAGGCTTTGGTTACAAGTGAACTCCCCAGGGGAGCCTTTTTGCAGTCCCACATGCAACTGGACTCTCCGTGTTCCCTCTTTCCGAGCAACCCTAAACATATCCTTAGCCGGACACAGACGACTGAAAAATCAGGCCCCAGAAAACGCAATACGAGCCACTTTAGCCCATCCAAAAGTGCCCCCAAAGGAAGGCTTTGGGTACAAGTGAACTCCCCAGGGGAGCGTTTACGAAGCCCCACATGCAGCTGGACCCTCCGTATTTGCTCTTTCACAAAATCCCTAAATATAACCCTGGCCCGCATGGCAGACGACTAAAAAGTCATGCCTCAGAAAACGCGTTTTGAGCCCCTTTCGCCCATCCAAAAGTGCCCCCAAAGGAAGGCTTTGGGTACAACTGAGCTCCCCAGGGGAGACTTTTTGCATCCCCTCATGCAACTGGATCCTCCGGGTTCGCTCATTCCCAACAACCCTAAACAGAGCCCTGGCAGCATTGGAGACGACTGAAAAATCAGGCCCCAGAAAACGCGTTACAAGCTCCTTTCACCCATCCAAACGTGCCCCCAGAGGAAGTCTTTGGGTACAACTGAACTCCCCAGGGGAGCCTTTTTGCAGTCCCACATGCAACTGGACCCTCATTGTTCGTTCTTTCACAGAAAGCCTAAAAGAGCCCTAGCCGGAATGGGAGACAAGTGAAAAATCGTGCCCCAGAAAACGCATTACAAGCCCCTTCTGCCCATCCAAAAGTGCTCCCAGAGGAAGGCTTTGGGTACAAGTGAACTCCCCATGGGAGCCTGTATGCAGCCCCACATGCAACTGGACCCTCCGTGTTCGCTCTTTCCGAGCAACCCGAAACCTATCCCTAGCCGACATGGGAGACGAGTGAAAAATCGTGTCCCAGAAAATGCGTTACAAGCCTATTTTGCCCATCCAAACGTGCTTCCAGAGGAAGGCTTTGGGTACAAGTGAACTCCCCAGGGGAGCCTTTATGCAGCCCCACATGCATCTGGACCCTCCGTGTTCGCTGTTTCCGAGCAAATCTAAAGATAGCCCTAGCCGGCATCGGAGACGACTGAAAAATCGGGCCCCAGAAAACGCGTTACAAGTCCCTTTTGCCCATCCAAAAGTGTTCCCAAAGGAAGGCTTTGGGTACAAGTGAACTCCCCAGGGGAGCATTTACGCAGCCCCACATACAGCTAGACCCTCCGTATTCGCTCTTTCATAGCAATCCTAAACATCGCCCTATCCGGCATGGGAGATGACTGAAAATTCGGGACCCAGAAAACGCGTTCCGAGCCCCTTTCACCCATCCAAAAGTGCCCCCAAAGGAAGACTTTGGGAACATCTGACCTCCCCAGGGGTGCCTTTATGCAGCCCCACATGCAACTGGACCCTCTGTGTTCGCTCTTTCCGAGCAACCTTAAACATAGAATCACAGAATTTCTAGGTTGGAAGAGACCTCAAGATCATCGAGTCCAACCTCTAACCTAACACTAACAGTCCCCACTAAACCATATCCCTAAGCTCTACATCTAAACGTCTTTTGAAGACTTCCAGGGATGGTGACTCCACCACCTCCCTGGGCAGCCCGTTCCAGTGCCTCACAACCCTTTCAGTAAAGAAATTCTTCCTAACATCTAACCTAAAGCTCCCCTGGCGTAACTTTAGCCCATTCCCCCTCGTCCTGTCACCAGGCACATGGGAGAACAGGCCAACCCCCACCTCTCTACAGCCTCCTTTAATGTACTTATACAGAGCAATAAGGTCACCCCTGAGCCTCCTCTTCTCTAGGCTGAACAAGCCCAGCTCCTTCAGCCGCTCCTCATAGGACTTGCTCTCCAGGCCCCTCACCAGCTTCGTCGCCCTTCTTTGGACCCGCTCAAGCACCTCCATGTCATTCTTGTAGCGAGGGGCCCAAAACTGAACACAGTACTCGAGGTGCGGCCTCACCAGAGCCGAGTACAGGGGGACGATCACCTCCCTAGCCCTGCTGGTCACAGTGTTTCTGATACAAGCCAGGATGCCGTTGGCCTTCTTGGCCACCTGAGCACACTGCTGGCTCATATTCAGCCGACTGTCCACCATCACTCCCAGGTCCTTCTCTGCCTGGCAGCTCTCCAACCATTCCTCTCCCAGCCTGTAGCTCTGCTTGGGGTTATTGCGCCCCAGGTGCAGGACCCGGCACTTGGCCTTGTTGAACTTCATGCCGTTGACCTCAGCCCATCGGTGCAGCCTATCCAGATCCTCCTGCAGAGCCTTCCTACCCTCGAGCAGATCGACACACGCACCTAGCTTGGTGTCATCTGCAAACTTACTGAGGGTGCACTCAGTGCCGTCATCCAGATCATTGATGAAGATGTTAAAGAGGACCGGCCCCAGCACCGAGCCCTGGGGGACGCCACTAGTGACTGGCCTCCAACTGGACTTGGCTCCATTTACCACGACTCTTTGGGCCCGGCTATCCAGCCAGTTTCTAACCCAACGAAGCGTGCGCCAGTCCAAGCCAAGAGCAGCCAGTTTCTTGAGGAGAATGCTGTGGGAGACGGTGTCAAAAGCCTTGCTGAAGTCAAGGTAGACCACATCCACAGCCTTTCCCTCGTCCACCCAGCGCGTCACTTTGTCGTAGAAGGAGATCAGGTTCATCAAGCAGGACCTGCCTTCCATAAACCCATGCTGACTGGGCCTGATCGCCTGCTTGCCCTTCAAGTGCCGCGTGATGACTCCCAAGAGGATCTGCTCCATGAGCTTCCCTGGTACTGAGGTCAAACTGACCGGCCTGTAGTTCCCCGGGTCTGCCCTCCGGCCCTTCTTGTAGATGGGCGTCACATTTGCTAGTCGCCAGTCAGCTGGGACCTCCCCCGATAGCCAGGACTGCTGATAAATGATGGATAGGGGCTTGGCCAGCTCCTCTGCCAGTTCTCTCAGTACCCTTGGGTGGATCCCATCCAGCCCCATCGATTTGTGGACATCCAAGTGCCGTAGCAGGTCACCAACCAGTTCTTCGTGGATAGTGAGGGCCACATCCTGCTCCCCGTCCCCTTCCACCAGTTCTGGGTACTAGGTATCCAGAGAGCAACCGGTTTTGCTGCTAAAGACTGAGGCAAAGAAGGCATTAAGCACCTCCGCCTTTTCCTCATCTCTTGTAACTAAGTTTCCCCCCGCATCCAGTAAAGGATGGAGATTCTCCCTAGTCCTCCCTTTGGTGTTGATGTATTTATAAAAGCGTTTTTTGTTATCTTTAACAGCAGTAGCCAGATTGAGCTCCAGATGAGCTTTGGCCTTCCTAATCTTGTCCCTGCACAGCCTCGCTACATCCTTATAGTCCTCCTTAGTGGCCTGCCCAGTTTTCCAAAGATTATAAACCCTCTTTTTTCTCCTAAGATCAAGCCACAATTCTCTGTTGAGCCAGGCTGGTCTTCTTCCCCGCTGGCTCATCTTTGGGCGCATGGGAATAGACCGCTCCTGCACCATTAGGATTTGCCTCTTAAAGAGCGCCCAGCCTTCCTGGACCCCTCTGCCCTTCAGAACCGCCTCCCATGGGACTCCACCAACTAGTGTCCTGAGCAGCCCAAAGTCAGCCCTCCGAAAGTCCAATACAGTGGTTTTACTGGTTCCCTTCCTGGCCCCGCCAAGAATAGTGAACTCCACCATTTCGTGGTCACTCTGCCCAAGACTGTTCCCGACAATCACATCCTCCACCAGTCCTTCTCTGTTTGTGAAGAGAAGATCTAGCAGGGCACCACCCCTGGTAGGTTCACTAATCAGCTGCGTCAGGAAGCTATCTTCCACTTTCTCCAGAAACCTCCTAGACTGCTTCCTCTGGGCTGTGTTGTGCTTCCAGGATATGTCAGGGAAGTTGAAGTCCCCCACGAGTACAAGCGCCGACGATTTCGCAACTTCTGTCAGCTGCCTGTAGAACTCCTCATCCGTCTCCTCATCCTGGTTCGGCGGTCTATAGCAGACCCCGACCAGGACACTAGCCTTGTTGTCCCTGCCGATCCTAACCCAAAGGGACTCGATCTTGTCATTCCTAGCCTCGAGTTCTACAACATCGAAAGACTCTCTAATATAGAGAGCCACACCGCCACCCCTTCTGTGCTGCCTGTC